CTCTTTCCCATACCAGACCCAATGTCACTACCCAATGTGCAAGTCCAGGGGCAGAACGAGTACCTGGTCTGCAAGATTTTAGATGCAAAATGAAGCAGGAAACTCTGGTACCTTATTGATTGGGAGGGACACAAGCCTGCGGACTGTACATGGGAACAAGCTGGAAATATTCATGCCCCAGGCCTATTAAAAGCATATGTGTGTGAATAATATATGTCTCTGGTCAGTTCTCTGGTCTGCTTGCAAAATGGAACTGTACAGCCTAAGTCAAATTGCTTATAACTCATCTGGCAGCAGGAGAAGTGTTTTTATATATGACCAATAAAAGTAATTTCCATGCTTCCAAACCAGTTTCAAAGCAGTTTAACCCTCAAGCATCCAGATATACAAACCTCCTGAATCATTTCAAAAGTGTACCTAGATAATGAAGTATTATTTTGAACCAGTTCTCTGTGACATGGTTCAGTTTTGTGTGTGGACCCCAAGCCTTCTGTGACTAACATCTTGGTTCATCCTCCAAGCATCCCACACTGTTCTGCTCCTTGCCTCCCCACCCTCACATAGCAACTTTCTGCTCTGGTATGAAGCCGTGACTCTACTGTCCCAACCTCTAATGACTGGCCTTGATTGCCATTGCACTGTCCCTTGCTGGAGGCTTCTCTCTTCTGCTTTTTACAGATCGAGTTAATTTCCTTCCATTGGTGGCAAGCCCCCAGCCAGCCCTGAGATGCATCACAGACTTATTTGGAGTTTACTGCCACCAATGGAAGCAAACTGGACAGCTCTTTAAAAGCTGTGGAGAGATTCCACCTGGAGCCCCCAACTCCCAGGCACACACAGAAGTAGGGGTTGAGGCAGTGCCACTCCCCTCACCCTCCACACGGCCACTCATCCACTCCCAAATCATCCTGGGATGCACCAAACCCTGGTCATTTTCCAGGAATTGAAGTAAATTGATGAGTGCCTTGGTGGAAAGTGTTTTTTAAATGCTGAAAAACTTCTGGCAACTCCTAAGAAGACAGCTCCTGGGAACCTAGAAGCAGGGGTCAAGGCAGGACTCCCACCCTACACACACACCTAAGCATTCCCAGTCAGGGCACCACCACACAGATTTTGGTGAAGTGCAGGAACAGATCTTCACTATACTCAATGTTAGCGAGAAAAAGCAGCAGAAAATTGCAATTGGGCAGGGTGATCACTACCGATTCCCAGCAGCAGTATGATGGTGCTACAATGCCTAAAAAATGATGGTTCTACTTAGAAACCCTAGTATTGTATGCATGGACATCTCAGACCCAAGACAATTTGGAAGTGGTTTCCGATTGATGTGTGTATCTAAACATGCAGTTAATGCAGACCAATAAACTGAGGAGCTTAATGCTCCACAGTTTTATGCTCCCAGGCACACTGTTTGAATTTGCACCCAGGAGCAAAACATTCCAGAGCAAAGTGCTCCGCAATTTATTTGTGTGCACCACATGGAGCCCTGTAGGAGCAGTCCAGGCTGGCAGAGGACCCAGGGAGTCAGCCTGCAAGCCCAGGGCTGCTCCAACTGGGCCCATGTGCTACAGGTGGGGCTGGTGGGGGCACAGGGTGCCTCGCTGTGAGGCTAGCTAGCAGGCAGCCCCCGCGCTGAGGAACCCTGAGCCACAGCCAGTCAGGGAGTGGCACATGGAAACAGAGGAGCAGCCAACCCAGGGCTGCTCCCCCATCTCTGAGGGCTGTGGAGCCCCTGCACTGGGGTGCAGTATGCTTTGATACGGGGAAGTAGCCAGCCCTGAGCTGGCTACTCTCCCATCTCCACATGCTTCTCCACAGCTAGCTGAGGTACAGGCTGCCTCAGAGCAGGAGCTCCACATTGCACAGAGATGGGGAAGCAGCCCTAGGCTGGCTTCTCCCCCATTTCTATGTGCCACTGTGCACCTGGCCAGAGTGCAGTGTGCTTCAGCACAGCGCTGAAGCACCCTGTCCCCAAGCCAGACAGGGCAGCATCTACATGTACGCTGCTGCACACAGAAGAACTCAGCAGCAGGGTGGTACTTGTATTTTACAAGACTACTGGGCTGCAAAGTTAATTAGTTTCATGCACCCTAATAGCAGTGCATGTGTAGATGGTGATACTTTATTATTCTGCTGCACAGTAAAGCGTTTCGTATAGATGCACTGAGTTACATTCTTTGAACAGTTCAAGTGTTATGCCTGTCTATACCCTTGGAATCGAAAAATCTAAGAGTTGAACTAGAAGCCATGCAAAATGGCTTAACCAATTTCTATTCACATAATTACTATGGTTACTCAGACATGTTGTCCCATAGTGGTAGATTTCTTACCAGTTTCTACTGTCGTTTCTTGTAACATTTTCAAGCATTCTTTTTTATAGTTAAACCAGTTAGTTGTTGTTTTCAGCAGCACAGAGGCTATGACCTGCACATAAAAAAAAATGAAAAAACGGAGTTTGAAATTTGTATTCTTCTAAGTTTATTTTTCTGTTGCTTTAATAAATGAAATAATTTAACCTCAATTGAAGTATTTAACATTACTGATGAAATTTTGAGAATTGTCACTTTTTAACTGGCCAAGAAAATATTGTTGCACCATTATTTTCTCTTTCCAAGCCACAATATTTATCCATTTGTATTCCTCCCCATGCTGCATGTGAAAACAAACCAAGAAGGTTTTAGTTATCTGGAATCAGGCACTATGAATATATTGTCTCAGCAGATCTGCCTTGTAGGAATCATTGTGAGTCCTAGCATTTTTTCACATAGCTGGCAATAAGGTCAATCTGACCTTAACAATAATGTGCTTGTTTCAAGCAAGGTACTTGAAAAACTAGCAGTTTCATTTCCAGTTTCACGTATTCATCTCCAAAGCCCTGGGCCCCTCCCAGGTGTGTTGGGCTCAGACAGTTACACAAGGAAATAGATGTCCTGTTCCAAACCTCAGCCATACTCCTGCAGGCAGTAAAGCAACGCTGTCATCAGTGTATTTTAAACCAAGCTTTAAATGGGGTGTATGTGTAACCCCCTTGTACCATAAAAGGGAGCTTTCCAGAATGCTTCCATCTTGGGAAGGCTGGTAAGAATCTCGTGGGCATGGTCAGTGGGGGTATGGTGGTGGTGGCTTGTGGCCATGTTGGGTGTACTGCTGAGATTAAGGGAAAAGAAAAAAACATCTATCCTAGCAACCAGGTTTGAGGGAGGGTTCCTAGTTTTGCTTCAGGCAGTTGTGGACCACACATGTAACTGCTGGCTGGTTGGGCAGGGCGCATAACACCAGGATATTTGGGACCTCCCTTCTCTGTGAATTGATGAAAAAGAGAGAGTTTGTCTTTGGCATGTCTGACACTGAGGTGGAGGGGGTGAATGTACTTTCCTACTTACTAGCGAATCCACCTACCCACTGCTTTCCTGGCTAATGAAGCCTTCATTGGTTGCCTGGATGCCCAAAAGGAACTGTTTAATAACCAGCTCAGCAGCTACAGAATGGCTGTGCAACGTGCTTTTGGGAGCCTCACAGATTTCATAGACATTAGGGCTGGAAGGGACCTCGGAACATCATCAAGTCCAGCCCCCTGCCCCAGGGGCAGGAAGTCAGCTGGGATCATAGGATCCCAGCAAAATAAGCATCCAAACATTTCTTAAAAGAGTCCAGAGTAGGTGCTTGCACCACCTCTGGAGGAAGTCTATTCCAGTCTTGGGGGCTCAAACACTAAAGAAGTTTTTCCTCAGTGGCGACAAGTAGGGGGTGCACAGGGGTGACCAGCTGGTGCACCTCCTGGCCAGCTGCGCTCGCCACTTAGGCAATGGGCAGGGTGGGCAGGTGAGAGTGTCAGTGCCCCCCACCCCTGCAAGCGGTGCCCAGGGAGGGGGAGCACCTTGGCACTCCCAGAACTGGCTGCAGCCACTTCTGGAAGTGGCCGCAGCCACTTCTGAAAGCAGCCACAGCGATCGGTCATCTTGCAATTGGCTGCGGGGGTACCCCACACCTGATCAGTGTGCTCAGCTGCAGGGGACCCCCCCCCCCACACACTGACTGGTCCCTGGGGGGGCATGTGCCCCCCCTGACTAAGATGGCACTAGTCGCCTATGTTTTTCCTTATGTCCCGCCTAAAATGGTCATGGAGGAGTTTGTGACCATTGGACCTTGTGATCCCTTGGGACGCTCTAGTGAACAGACATTCTCCCAGATCCTGATGCACACCACTTATAGGCTGCCACCAAGTCACCCTAAGCCTGTGCTTTTCCAGCCTGAAGAGTTCCATGGCTCTCAGCCTCTCTTCATAAGGCCTGTTCTCTTGCCCTCTGATCATGCACGTGGCTCTCCTCTGGACTCTCTCAAGATTTTCCACATCCTTCTTGAATTGTGGAGCCCAGAATTGGATGCAGTACTCCAGCTGCGGCCTCACCAAGGCTGAGTACAACGGAAGGATGACATCCTTAGATTTGCTTGAGAAGCATCTATGGATGAGTTTTGTTCACTTTGCATTGGTGGATCATGTTCATCTTGTGGTCAATCATGACCCCCAAGTCCCTTTCAGCCATGGTGCTAGTGAGCGTAGCACTGCCAAACCTATAAGCGTGATGTGGGATTTTTTTCCCTGAGGTGGAGTACCTTACATTTTACCATATTGAATGCCATCAGGTTTTTATCTGCTCAGTTTCTAAGTCTATCAAGGTCAGCATGGATCACCAGCCTATCCTCAGGTGAAGACGCTCTACCCCAAAGTTTGGTGTCATTGGCAAACTTGGCCAGTCCACCTCTGACACCAGCGTCCACATCGTTAATAATGTCATTAAAGAGTACAGGTCCAAGGATGGAGCCTTAGGGGACACCTCTGGTCATGGAGTGCCATGATGATTCACTTCTGTCAACTACCACTCTCTGGGTCCAACCTTGAAGCTAATTCCCCAGCCATCGGATTCTGATGTAGAGTCATTGGCAAACTTGGCCAGTCCACCTCTGACACCAGCGTCCACATCGTTAATAATGTCATTAAAGAGTACAGGTCCAAGGATGGAGCCTTAGGGGACACCTCTGGTCATGGAGTGCCATGATGATTCACTTCTGTCAACTACCACTCTCTGGGTCCAACCTTGAAGCTAATTCCCCAGCCATCGGATTCTGATGTAGATGAGGCCGCAGTTGGCCAATTTTTCCATGAGAAGATCATGGGACTCCAGATCAAAGGCTTTTTTAAAGTCCAGATATATGATGTCAATCTCTTCTCCCTTGTCCAGGTGATATGTCATCTGGTCATAGAAAGAAATGAGATTAGTCAGGCAAGACCTACCCACAACAAACCTGTGCTGGCTGTCCCTCAGGATTCATAGATTCATAGGTGCTAGGGTCGGAAGGGACCTCAATAGATCATTGAGTCCGACCCCCTGCATAGGCAGGGAAGAGTGCTGGGTTCAGATGACCCCAGCTAGATGCTTATCTAACCTCCTCTTGAAGACCCCCAGGGTAGGGGAGAGCACCACCTCCCTTGGGAGCCCGTTCCAGACCTTGGCCACTCTAACTGTGAACAAGTTCCTCCTAATGTCTAGGTAAATCTGCTCTCTGCTAGCTTGTGGCCATTATTTCTTGTAACCCCC